ATTTGATCGATCTGATAATTTGGGTCTCAAAATCTCGCTGAGTCCCAAAGATCTAAAAAGAGCGGATAGCTTCGCTGGCCTGATGCCAAGGCAAGAGGAACGGAACAGAATGTGTTGCGCGGACGAGTTGTCCGGCCACAGCAGGATGTGGTAATTACGGCCTGTGCGCTCCAATGCCAATGGGATCGCGCCATATAACGCACACCCCTCACTACCGACCCTCCCTCGAGAACATGATCGGGAGACCTCTGTGATGTTCATTTACTTCATCTGGTCTGATATGAAAACGGAACTGTCGTGTAAACAACTGCATCGGGGTAGCCTCAATGAGGAGTGGTTCACTTTACATTATCGGCGATCGAGTCTGGTTCTGGCTCTTGATGGCGGCTAGGGTTTGTTCTTTGTTCACTGCTTCATCTAACTCCTGGTCCAATCTCAGCATTTGCAGCTTTTCGCCGCGATTAGGTTCCGGGATCGAAAGAAAAAACGTGAGCAGCAAGGTGCGCAAGGTATGTTGGATTTCAGAAGGTTGTTCAATTGCGGTGGCCCAGTACTTGAGGCTGATATTCCTGCTTCTCCAAATGACAGCGAGGAGGGGCAGAAGTGTGCAGTGTGGGTTCAGGTATGTAGCGGGGAGCAAAGGGGGCGTTCCAGAGACCTCTAGGGTGGCAGAGTGACTCTTTGAGACGCTATCCCAAGATAGCGAGCATGCTTCGACAACGCAGTTGAAATCGCATCAAATATCACTTCTACATAATCAATGGGACTGTGCCTTGGGCCAGAAGGGGTAGAGCGACTCTAGGTGGGTGGGCCTTCTCTCTCATGCTTACTCCTGAGCATTGGCTCCGTATCATGCGAAAGTGCCTCGCTTCATTGTTCAGAAAGCCATCTAGGGGCTCATGTCCTTGAAGGGGACATTGAAAACAGGGCCGTTGGTGGGTGACTGAGTCCAGGAGAAGGAGAAACACTGGGAAGGACCCAATCCACTCGCATCCCCCTGCAGAATCCCTTCCCTCGCTCAGGCTTTGCCTCGGGTGCTGTAAGTGGCTCACTTACTTGAATCCCTCCTCCCGAGCCCCTCCCCAACAACATGTGCGCCCCCACTAGATCTTGATCTGTCCTAGGTCAGTACGATGGCTGTATGCCATGCTAGTGCATCTGTTTGTCCACCCTCAAAATGCATTGTTGTGATGATGGAAGTGATTCGGCAAGCGACCGCTAACAGGACTTCACACCATTTGATGCCGCAATATCAACCTAACGAAGGGTAGTGATTGTGATAACATCTATCAACCTCACGCTCACGAAGTTACTCTACAGTGTGGTGATTAACGCTGAGGTATTGAAATCCACGGGAAATTTCGCACTCATCGGCCTCAGGGAGACATTTCGCACTCACGTGGGTAAAAATAATCCAAATAGTTGAGGGAATGTAGATGCAAAGTCATGTGAAGGTGCGACGCTCTTCTCCTCAGGCCAATGTCAGACTTTGCGAATAGAGCGACTCTTAGCGCCCGCAGGTCGCGTCGCGGCCAGTGAATCACTCAATTGGCTGGTACCGCAACGCGACGCGGACGCTAGCGAATCGCTCGATTCGCAAAGTCTGACATTGGCCTGAGGAGAAGAGCGTCGCACCTTATCATAACTTTGCATCTACATTCCCTCA